TCAAGAATCTGGCCAAAAATAGAATTAACATATGATTCAGCAATTCCACTTCTGGGTATTTATCCAAAGGAAGTGAAAACACTAAGTCGAGGAGATATAGGCACCCTCATGTTCATAGCAGCATTGTTTACAATAGCCAAGATACAGAAACAACCATGGATGAATGAATGGAAAAAGAAAATGTGGGGTCTGTGTACAATGGAATATCATTCAACCATCAAAGAGAATGAAATCTTGCCACTTGTGGCAACACAGATGGACTTTGAGGGCATTTTGCTAAGTGAAATAAGTCAGACAGAAGAAAATACCATGTGATCTCATTTGTATATGAAATCTAAAAAAACAGAACTCAGAAAAACAGAGAACAAATGGGTGGTTGCCAGAGGTAGGGGGTGGAGGGTGGGGCAAAATGGGTGAAGGGGGTCAAAATGTACGAACTTCCAGTTATAAGATGAATAAATCCTGGGACTGTAATGTATAGCATGGTAACTGTAATTAACAATACTGTATTGTATATTTGAAAGTTCCTAAGAGAGTAGATCTTAAAAGTCTCATCACAAGAAAAAAATGTGTTAACTATGTGAGGAGATGGATATTAACTAAACTTATTGTGGTAATCATTTCACAATATATACATTTGTCAAATCATTATGTTATGTACCTTGGACTAATGTAATGTTATGTGTCAATTATGTCTCAAAAAAAGGAGTCTTATTGTCTGACTCTAAGGCAATTAATATTTTTGAGCATGAGGAAGCTGGACAGGCAGAATTACAGGGAAGCTACAAGTGAGCACTCTAGACTTCAGGGCATTGTCCATGGTTTTTTGCTTGACAACTCAAGGTATCATAATGATGATAGCTCCTAGTGTTAATTGTCCCAGTATTTTATTCTTCCTTAGTAATACAAATTCTGACTTTTAGCTGCACACCTGTGGCCACCTTGGGTTAAGACTACATTTGTTTTGTTTTTTCTTCAGTCTTCTTTGTAGCTTGATGCAATCATATGAGCAAGTTCTAGCCAATGGACAAAATGAAATGTGACTTCTGGGAGGTCTCCTTAAAGAGGGGTATCTTCTACTCTTTTTTCCCCCTGCTGACTAGAAAACAGATGTGGCTGGTGGCTAGGGCTTGAGCAACCATTTTGGACCATGAGGCAGAAGCTGCTTATTAAGAATGACATAGCAATACAGAGGGGGCTTGGGTTACAGGGAGCTACCCTAGACTTTGAAGGGAGTTTGTGTACAAGAAATAAATGAGCTTCTAAATTAAGTCACTCTGGTTACTTTCATCATGCTTATTTTTTCTCAGCTTTGCTGAGGTCTAATTGACAAAATAAAATTGTAAGATATTAGAAGTATATGGCAATGATGATATGTGTGTGTGTATATATATATACACACACATATACACATACAGTGAAAGAATTCCCCCTAATTAACATATCCATCACTTCACATATTTATTTATTTTTTTTTTGGCAAGTTGTCATGTATATTTAAAATTTGAGGACTGACCTTGGTAAGATTTACTTCTGTGGGTCAATCTCATCTGCACAATAGGACTAATAATACCTATCTCAAAAAAAATACTAAGTGTTATATTGCAAGTTAGTCATAAATCCAGAACAGAACCCAGGATTCCTGGTGTCCCAGACTTCTGAGCATGGTAGGTTATTTGAAAAGAATCCTAGAGACTTTAGACACAAGTCACCTTTTTCTGTTGGTAACTGTTGTCACAAGCAAAGCAAACTCAAATCAAGATATATTTATATTATAGAAGTATGTTTCTCCAAAGCACCATTCAAGATCTAACTTCTTCATGAGATCTTTCTTGCCCATTAGATCTATAGTGAGTCTCTGCTCTCTGAGTTCCCTAAATACACCACAGGCTTTGCTCTGAAATGTGGTCTCTAGGTCTCTGTCTTAAATTAGATTGTGATCTCTCAGAGGGCAGGGTGTGCATCCAAAGATTCTTCATAATAGGAAGCATTGTGCTGGGCACAGAAGGGGATGCATCAAAGTGCTTGTGAAAATTAATGGAAAGGTTCTATTCTGAATACAACAGAAGGCAAGAGTCCTCTGAATTATACAGAAACAGACATATTTGAAACTGGTGTTCCTGGCTAGTACTAAATATTTGAGACCTTCAGGCCTCAGTATGGAATATGAGGTATTATTTTTCTTCTACTGAAATATTCCCTTGCAAATAGAAGTCCCACAGGACAAGGAGTATGGCTGAAACTGGACAGACCAGATGCCAGGATAGCTAGATTTATTTTTGGACCATAAGGTTGGCCTTCAGGGAAAGAAGGAACTTGTCAATTTCACTTTCTGCTTGGATCAGAAGATCGCGCCTGGCAGAGAGACACTGTTTGGGACTAGTAGTTCTCTGGAATTTCTATCCTTCTCTGGGGTTGGGAGGGGTTGGGAGAAGAAAATGCATCATTTGAATGATGGCCATGGTTACGACAGGCCCCACATGCCAACCAGAGGGAAAGAAAATACTTGCTGAGCAAAGTAACTGGAAAGCAGTTGCTCATATTTTAAACTAAACTACATGGTTGAAATCCAGAATAATGTAGACTTTTGGACCAGTGACCACTTGGAAATAGGCTTTCTGGCTGGAAAGAAGCATGTGGTGTTATAGATGGAAAGGACTACTACAATGCTTTTCCCCCAAGGTGCTTTGTGCTGCCAGATACTGGGGGCCATCTCAAGCATATTTACTTACTCCAGCAGATTTCTCAATAATTCCAGCAGCAGAAAGAATTTGACCAGCTTGATGGGGTACATGTGGCCAGGTGGTAGACTCAGGACAAACCTGCCAGGCTGCTGAGCCTGATAGTAACATTTTCATCCTGCCAAGCCCCTGGTGGTTAAACACTTAGGTGGGTACATGGAAATTGATGTAAGTGCTGCAAGAAACACAGCAGTACTGGACAAATGTCACAAGTCCAGCTGGGTACATTCCCAGAATGCCAGATCACAAGGGCTGACTCTTGCTGTTTCCATGCTCTTCCCCTGCAACTCAGTGAAGCTTAGAAGTCTCAGTTCTCTTGCAGGCCACTAAAGAAATGCCTGTGTCTAACCCTATGGCATTTGAGATTGAGCATGGCAGTCATCATATGTCAGAGTCAGAATCAGACTCTGAAAACCTGGGCTTGACTCTGGAATGTCCTTCACCAGCCAAATGAGGCCAGGCAAGTCACAATATCCTGGAGTATCCATTGACCTACCTGTAAAGTTGGCTCTGTCTACATCACAGGATCATTCCGAACATAAAATGAGATGAGGCATTTGTCATGCTCTCTTCATATGCCAGATGGTGATATTTCTAACTCAACTATTCGAAGGGCTTTACACACTCCATCTCCTTTAATCCTGGCAAGAACTCATGCATTGGATACTGTTTTTATCCCCATTTTACAGAGGGAAGTACTAGACCCCAGACAAGTAAAGTTACTTGTGCAAGGTTATGCCACTAGGTGGCAAACCCAGTATTTGAACCCAACCTGTTTAGCTAGAGAGAGCTGCATTATTTCCCAGCTGAGGAAGACAGGCAAATTCTCTTAGAGGTGCTCTTCATTTTCATTTGGAGAATCAACAGTACTTCGTTACTGTTCTAGTGTCCACTCTGGGCTTTTTTACCTGAGAGCACTGGGAAAGTGGAAGACTTTTATGCACTCAGGTTTGCTTTTCCGAAGGATTCAGGTAGAAGGCTGGAAGGGGAAGAAAAGGGGAATGGGCAAAGCTGGATGAGGGAACTGGGTGGGAAGCCTGTTCATACAGTTCAGGAGCGAAGCCCTAAAGGAGCAGAGCAAAGCTTTGTCAGGACCTCTCAGGCCCAGACAAGCAGGAGTTAAGTGCCAGCACTGCCTCCAGTCTGTTTGGAGAAAAGAGTTCCTCCTCCTGAAGTGAGTGTCCATACCAATGGGAGTAAACCCTAAGGGCTGTGCTATATATAAGAAGAGAAATCATGGTTCTCTTGGGTTGAAAGCAGTGGACCACCCTGGCTGGGTTGACGAGCTGGTGTGATGCGGTTGTGGCCATTCCCAAGAGGGTCCTCTGGGGACCAGCCTGGGCAGAGCCCTCCAACCTCCCTCTGGATCCTTTGCTGTGCTGTCCTTTCCAAGTGGCAGGGCACACAGGAGAGATCTCCTCTCCCTCCGCTGACCCATCTCTGAGGTCTCTGCACCCACAGAAATCAATGCTTTCTTCCTCCCTCTCTTGCACCAGGAGACCCTCTGCATCTCCTCCCAGGGCTTGTAGGCCCACAGAGGTTGACCCTTGGCTGTCCAGTTCAAGGCAGGGAGCCCGGGTGCTGGGGTTCCAATCCTGGGCCTCCGCAGGGCCACAGGTGGGCATGTCCGCATACCCACAGGGACCCTCGCCAGCAGCCCAGCACACGCTTCACCTTGTTCCTTTGACACTTCTCCCAAGACCACTACTGTAGGACTTGGGGTGTCACCCCCTGGAAGCTTCTTTGAAAGAAGTGAACGTGCCCGCTTCCCACTCCCAACGCCAGTCACAGCCTGTCCTGTGCTGGTCACATTCTCAGTTGCTGGTGTCCATGCAGCGGGAAGCAGATTTCTCAGCGCCTTGGCATCCTAGTATCTTCATCAGAAAAATGGCGCGAGGATTATTTTCTTGCCTATATCATGAGGCTGTAGTGATAACTCATCACTGTGTGAAAACTCTGCATTTAAGGCATCATGATTAACCGGGTGCGCATTCTGGTAGGTTTAGGCTGCTGGATCTCGTCCAGGTTTCTCCGGAGAGCAGGGCCGAGAAAAACGTCCTCTTTAGCCCAATCTCCTGGAGCCCACCCCGGCGGTGTAAGCGGGTGTCTCTCCTCAGTGGGGTTGACGGCGAGCCGCCCCTCTTTCCTCTTTCCCATTGGCTTTCACCTGCCAGAGGGTCGGCGGCTACGGGCCTCTCGGCCCGTCAATCAGGGTCGCCGGGCTCCGCCCCTCCCCTCCCGGGGGTTTATAACGGGAATTCCCATGGCCCAGGCTCTGGCATCCAACCTGCTGCCGCTGCGGCCCGGCCGAGCGGAGCGAACGCCACACACGGACCACACGCTCGCGCTCCAGCTCCCCTCCTGCGCGGTTCATGACCGCGCGCCGCGACCGCAGCCTCTGCCCGTCTGCGCTGCCCGCCCGCCGCCGCGAGGACCCCGAGGGAAGGAAGGCAGGAAGGCAGGAGCGGCTGTGCGCCCCGCAGAGCCCGCGACGCCTGCCCGCAGCCGGCTGCCCGGCCCGGCTGGCACCATGCTGCCCGCGCGCTGCGTCCGCCTGCTCACGCCCCACTTGCTGCTCGTGCTGGTGCAGCTGTCTCCGACTCGCGGCCATCGCACCACGGGCCCCAGGGTAAGTGCGCCCAGCCGCGGGTCCACCTGCGGAGGGAGACCGAGGGCAGGGGAGGGCGAAGGGCGGTGTCAGACCTTGTCCCCCGACATACTACCCAATACTCTGCGGGCTTTTTGGCGAAGTTGCCTAAATAAACATTTTCCCATTCTACACCCCTACCCCCATCCTTTCTTGCAGCACTGACTCTGCCTTCCTCCACAGCCCTGACCTGTGACTAGTGGGTGGGTTTTCTTTCCCCATCTCTTCTCCTAGGGCATTTTGCTCCAGGACCCTTAGAGGTGCCTCCTGCTTCAGAGTAGGGCTGCCCTGTGTTCTCACACTGCGCCCGGTCCGGCGCGCTGGAGTTCTTGGCAGGCGGCGGGGCGCAGCTCTGCCTCCAGAGTTTTAGGTTACCCGAGAGCCACACAAGGACCCTGTGTTGTTGTTTTAAAAAGCGATCGCTGCTCATAAAACCCACAGCAGATAATTTTAATGCTCCCTCCCGCTGGGCACAGCCCTGGAGCAGTAGAGGTGGGGGGCTGAGGAGAGGTGGCGGAGAGGAGCTGCGCAGTATTCCAGCGTCTCTTCCCCTGGGTTCAGAGCTGGGAGGTTGAACTAATTGGTGAGTCTTGGTCTGATTGGAGTTTCTGAACGACATGAAATGTGGCGGTTCTGTGCACAGGACAGGCTGTCCAGGGCACTGTAAAAATCTCCTAAACTGTCAACATTGTGTTCATCTCTGGTCTAGAGTATTGAGTCCCCCCACCCCAGTTGGTCTAATGAAGGATTCCATTACCTTAGGAAAAGAAATTAAACCACCTAGTGGTTCATTTTAACAAACCTAACGCAGACAACCTCTGGCCAAGAATTAGTTTATATCAGGGCAGTCTTCTTTATCAATAGCTGCTTGTCTCAACCAGCAGCGTGAGTCTATGCAAAAGTAGCTGGGATCTCTATGAAAATGGGATTGGTTCCTAACCTACTTGTGCTTTCCTTGGTATCCCTTGGCAGCCCCATTACCACCTGTTCAGATTGTCGGTTCTTTATTCATAGCTTTTGCTATATGAGAATCGTCTTTATAGACTTTATAGCTGTTGTGTGTGGAGGAAAAGCCTTGCAAAGCATGCCGAGCAGTAATGACTGCCCAGATGCCGCCTGATTACACGAGCCCAGCTATCACTGTGAGATCAGATTTGCAGCCACTTAGGAAAGAAAAGTGTTTGTCCTCGTGTTGGGCTGGCCCCTGCTTTTATGACCAGATGTGCAACAGCAGCAGTTAAAGTGCGGCAGATTAGATCCAGGGCGTGTCATAAATCCTCGACAGCAGGCATTCCCAAAGCTGGGGCAAGTAAGGGCTCCGGAGTAACTTTTATGGATGCAGATGAGGATGCCTTTTAAATGAAGCTGCTTGGTTTGGTATTAGGACTCACAGCTCTTAAACTCCGAGGTCAGGAGAGCCACGGTGTTCCCTCCAATAATTAGGAACAGTCAAGACGGAGACGCAGACCAGAGCACCCTGTCTGAAATCTGGATGCCCGCCCACATGAGAGGCCCGGAGACAAATGGTGGGGGGCTCGTTTGCTGCTGGGCATGTCTAGCGTCTCAAGCCATATGGCTCTCCTTCCCTGCCTTCTGAAATTGGAGGAAGCAACTTTTAGGGGAAAGCTAGGGACTTCAGGGGAAAATAGGGACATTGGTTAGGTTTCCTTCCAGCTTCTCTAGTTTATTAATTTGATAGAAGTGGTGGAAAATGAACAGGAAGTGTCAATAGGCTTGTGTGTGTCCCAGATGCATTTCCTCTCCTGCTCCCTCCTGCCCCATACATGTGTTTAGAAAATACGAAGGGGAAACTGGTCTCTTGAGTGGGTGGTTACCTGGGTTGCATTTATAGGCAATGGTAAGAGCTACCATTTATGAATACTTGGGCAAGGCACTTTCTGTGATCACTTGGGCATATAAGAACATGAAGGTGGGTCTTTTTAGTGCCATTTTGCAAGTGAGACTCAGGGAGGCTGAATGGCTTGCTTGGAACACTCGTGTGTGTAGCTCTGGGAGCCAAATCCCAGTTTATATGGATGTACAGGTGGTGTGCTTTCCACACCACCAAGCAGCTGCAGGGAATGTTCATCCAACTGGTGATGCCGTTCCTGTTAAAGGAAGAGATGGCTCAGTGAGAAAATACTGAACCCAGATACATCAGGCAAGCCTGTAGGAAAGCATTAGTAATAATATTTTTGGTGTCCGTATTGCTAAAGGGTGATATCTTTGAGTTGCAACCTATCCCAAGAGAACTCAGTTCTCTTCTGTGGCTCCTTGGTGGCGTTAGCCGTGTAGCTCTCATTGAAAGTGGTGGTGTCACAAGGAGGAGCAGAAACATCTGGCTTGCTGCAGTATTCCCTTGGGCACCCCTGGGTCTCTTCTGTTAATCTTTTGAGTGACAGAGGCTTAAGGATTGGCATCTTTTCCAGCTGGCTTTCTAGGAAACCGAGAGCATGCCCTTGTGCTTTAACTTTATCTGGCACACTAATTGAGCTCCCTAGAGGGCTAGACTCCAGTCCTTGCCCCCTTATTTGCTTCCTGCCTTCATAAAATTCCTGACATTTGTTTGACTCTGGAAACCAGCACCTATCAAGTATCAGATTGGAGGCTATTATGTAGGAAGCACCTGATTTTTTGGTCTCTCAGCTCTGAGCGGCCGCTTGGCTACCTGGGACACTGGTCAGGATCCTTTTAATTACGGAAGAGGCAGCCATTTCTTTAATCCTGTACAATTTACTGAACATGTTTCAGGGCAGGATGACATGGGGGAGGGACTGTCATGGACTGATGTAGTCTGGCTGATTTCAGGCCAAGCCAACTGCATGTCTTTGTTTAATCCTGTGTCTGCCCTCAAAGACTGGCATCTGGGTGAGGGTGGCAACTGTGCCCACCTTGTCCATGGGAGTATCCCTGGAGCTCAGCATAGGGCCGGGTGCCTGGATGGACTTTGTTGGTGTTTGTCGAAAAACTAAATAAATGCAGACAATGCATGTTAGATAGTGACCCATGTTTCTAAGTGCTTTAGCATGACTGTAAGCAGGAAATAGATTTAAGAAGTTTGAGAAAATGGGAAGGTCAAGAAGTCTGAGCAAGAAATTTGACTTCTTAATTGTTTTATGTATATTCTTTACATGTTCTCTCCTCTCACTTACTTGGTTCACCCCTCAAAAGCCATCCATCTCCAGCATCATTCCCTAGGAACTTCCCTGCAGGATACTTTTTTTGGTTAGAAAAAAACACTTTTTTGATCACTTTCACCCTCACAGAACTTCTGTATTTGGTTCACTGTGTTCTAACTTTTGCTAATCCTACAATACATATCTTGAGATCAGGCCAACATTTTCATCTTCTCAGCACTAACTTGCTCCTCCGGCACTTTAAGCAGGATCCCGTCTTGCTAATGAACAAACTCACAACCCCTTGAGAGCAGAATAGACCTCCCCTTCGTCAGTGTGTTGGGTCATACTGCAAAGCATTCAGTAAACATTTATTGAAACAAACTGGACTGTACAGGGATGTCCAAGCTGGACCCCCCTTCTCATTCAAACCTGGAATTGGTTGCACAAACTATTTCCCCTCCATTTTTAGGCTGTTGTCTTTGTTTAAAAATAAGTGTGTGTGGTGGTTATAGAAGATTGAAGGAGGAGAGACTGAGCAAGCAAACGGGTGAGGGAACAGGCTTTAGCTGCATCCAGATCCCCTTTTTGTTTCAATCCTGCATTTGCCAGTGTGAAGCAGTTTCTAGACAGTTCCTTTCCATTTGGTCAGCCTGCCTCTGTCTGGGGCCTTGTGTCTGCATAGATGCCATTATTATCTATGTGACTATAAAGAATCCTTCTTTTCTACTTGGGGAATTTATCTGAAATGCTACTCAGGTGTTAGGCCAGGAACTTGACTTAAACTTTTTGATAGAGCTGACATGTTAAATGTAAAGAAACAAAATTGAAGAGAACAGGAAGAAGAAAGAATCATCTTAGAAACTCTAGGAAATGCAATCAAATGGAAAACATTTTTATATTATCTCATCTCCTAAAGCTGAAATGCACATTTCTTATGACCTTGCATTCCACTCCTGGGTATGTATGTCTAGGAGACATAAGCAACTATATTGATAATACTATACTTCTGGAAAGAGCCCAGATGCCCATCAGTTGGAGGGCACATTAGTTGACATATTCACACAGTAGAGAATTATACTTGGTCAAAACAAATGAGCAGCAGTGCCATGCAAAAATGAGGATGAATCTTGGTAATATGATATTAAGCAAAATAAATATACCAAAAGATATAGCATGACATCTTTTATAAACTTAGGAGTGACTAAAATTAAAGAAAACTTTCAGGAATGCAATACTACTCTATGAAAAGAAAAGCAAGGTAATGATGGAACAGGATTCTGGGTGAGGTTAGGGTGAGACAGGGGGTCAAATTGGTAGGGAAAGCCTTTGGGGTAGCTAAAGTTAGTGTCACTACTTTACGTTTCTTTGGGTGAGAGGGAGGGTGGGTTTGAAGGTATTTGTCCACTAGTAAAAGTCAAAGAGTGAATTCAATACAAAATAAAAGTGGGCCCTGCATGGACTGGTGTTGAGTGTGTCATAACAAAAGATTATGATTAAATCAATTCTTGGCACCTGAGGTCAGACAACAGAAATTCCCAGATTAGGGACCCCTTTCTTGCCTCCTTCTGCTTCCCCCTCTGTAGATGTGCATGTGACCCCACCTGAAATCTCACACTGGGGAGTGACTGCTGGCTTTGGTTTCAGTTCTTGACCAGTTAGACCCATGGCAGGCCCAGACCCTGGCATGAATACCTATGTCAGCTGGCCAAAGGACTCATTTGGAAGACTGAGCCAGCAGGGGGTCGGCCCTGTGTATTTGCCTCCGAGCCCTGCAGTGTGGCAAAGTTCACTGGCTGGTGCCGTCCGAAGCCTTATTTGCCAGTTGGGGGCGGGGGAGGCTTGTTTCTGATTTGATGACTGTCT